CGGGAGCGAGTGGGTCTCTGAGAAGCGGTGGGGGACGAGGGCGAGAGGACTCGCGGGTGCGGGCAGGTGAGCCTCGGGCCGGGGAGGGCTCGGGTCGAAAACTTGGCTGTGGGGGAGGAAGTTAGTGGGGAGCAGAAATGCGGAAGGTGTGGGCAGGTGCGGCAGGGGTGTCTGGAGGGAGCCTGAGGCAGCCGCGCGGGCCGAGGGGGTTGGGGACGCAGGGTAAAGGAACGCCGCGAGGAGGGAGGGCAGTGGAAGCCGAGAGGGGTAAGGGGCGGGGAGCCTCGGCGCCTGTGGGGAGGGGCGCTGGGGGGCGGGGTGAGAGCTACGGGGAAGGCAGGGAACGGAGTGGAGAGGGAGGGTGGAAGGAGGGGCAGGGAGGGGAGGACGGGAGGGAGGGGCAGGGAATGGAGGAAGGAAAAGAGCAGGGGAGAGGAAGAGGGGGAGTTCAACCCGGAGAGGGGGAGGAGAGGCCTGAGTCCAGCGAAGGGCAGGAGGAGGTGGGAGCGCAGCCAGCGAGTCTGCAGCAGTGAGAGTGGTGGGCAGAGGGCAGTGGCTGTTTCTGGTCGGCCAGGGCTGGAGGGGCGGGGCAGGGAAGGGCCGAGGGGAAGCTGCTGAGAAATGGGTGGGGGAGGGAGCCAGCAGGAGAGGGCCGTGGCTCTCCAGCAGTCCAGCAGTCCCCGGCTAGGGGTGGGGTGGAGGGGTCCTTAGAAGGAGAGCCATTTCCTGCCTTCATGGGGGTGGGGGGAGGGGTCCCGTCTCTGGCCGCCCAGCCGGGACCCCACCTCCCAGTTTGGCTGGCTGCTCTTTCCTCAGCCCCTGCAGGGCCAGCTGGGGGCCTCAAAGGGGGTGCCCTTGGTCCCCAGACTAGGGGATCCTGGGTTTCTCCATCAAGGGTGCACTGCTTGGAGTCTCATTTTCCTCTGGTCGCCTTCAGTGGGAATTCTCTTAGCTTCTGAACCCAGTCTCCCTCCTCCCACCTGAAGCCTGTCAACAGAGATTGAACCTGCTGTCTCTCCTTGGTCCCCTGTCCCCAGGAGCAGCTGTGGCCACCATGAGAGAGTCCCTCAGCGCCCTGGGTGAGTGTGAGTCAGAGAGCCGCGAGGGAGGATGGGGTGCCAGGGCTGCACCCCACAACTCTGCAGCCCAGGACCCTTGGGGTATCTGGGGCTTGGAACAGAGTTAGGTCATGCATTCGTGTGGGCGGGAGGTGCTTATTGGGCAGGCACCCCTCTTTTCGGGGGGGGCCACACACACGTGTGGGACTATGCCCACGTGTGGTTCTCAAGAGGCACTTCTCCCTTCCGTGTGCCCTAGTGAGTGTGTGGTTCTCACCTCAGCCTTTGGTGTGACTGTGTGCATGCATACGTGCTATGCTTGTCTGTCTGATTCTCATCAGGCACCTGACCCTTCTCCTGTCCTGGGTTCTGAGGGGTGGCTGACTGCTGGGGAGCCTGAGCCATCCCCTTGTCCATGTTACTGGAAACCCTGCCCTCCCGGAGCAGGCTGAGAAACCCTTGGGTGGGCTTTCCTCCCCATTCTGCCTGGAAGGAGGAGGACCTCACCTGAACACCTCCCTCCAAATGTGATAGGTTTCGGCGTGGGGCAGCCAGCAACAGCCCCCCAGAGTGAATCTGGGGGAGGGTCCAGTGATGTCCTGGAGCAGATGTTCCCTGCCACAGAGGAAAGAGGGCCGGGAGTGTGCTCAGGTAGGTGGATGGGAAGGGTCTTCCTCCCTTTGCCAAATATTTGAGCACGTCTTTCTTGCTGTTATAGATGCTGGGGCATTGCAGCGACCAAGTAGGCAAATACCCTTGTCTTTGAGAAGCACAGCACACATGTAAACAACTGGCAAACTCCAAACCCTGTTAGACAGCTGTGCTGGGGCAAGGAGGTGGTTAAAGAAGTGGAGGGGAGCGCGTGGGACCTGGGTGGTGGGAGTGGGCCTCGTAGGAGGCAGCTGAGGCCCTGGCTTGGAGGAGTGAGGGAGGCAGCTCCTAACAGTGGTGAACAAACAGATCACCAGGCTAGGAGGTGCCTCCTGCTTCCTCTCTGCCTTCAGTGTAGCCTCGGGACAGGGCCGCTGGGCCTTCCTGAACCTCACTGCCCCTTCTTAGCTTCCACTTGGACAGCTTATCAGTCACTGCCTGAGACCAGCTGGGCAGCTGGGTGTAACCCTGCAGGTGTGCCATGGGTGGACCCTGCCCCTGCCCAGTGGGGAAGACCCCACCTTCAGTCCCAACATGATGGCTCTAGTTCTTAAGGTGTCCTATTCTCTGCCAGGGAACAAGGCCCCCAGACCTGAGCAAGGTGCCCACATGGAACAAGGAGAGCCTCCCTGCGGAGGAAGGTGGGCAGACACAACGCCAGAATCCCAGTCTAAGGGGACCTGCCCAGGTGAGTCGTTCCTGGTGGGGCTGGAGCCCAGTAACTACAGAGCTCCTAGACTCAGGCTCCTTCTGCGGTTCAGCTCCAGTCCCAAGGGAGCTTAGATCCCTGGGCATGGGGAGTCAGAGAGGCAGTGGCTACGGAAGGACTTCTGAAGCCCAGCTTCCCTCCTTACTCCTCCCTTTCTTTCCGTCAACACGTTGCCTGTCCACCGGAATCATGGCTCCCAAGATGCTGGCACTGGCCAACCTTGCACTCTCTCTCCCCAGACCTGCACTCTTTCTGAAACGTCCACATTTCCACACCCTGGGGCTCCATGCCCACTGTCTGGACTCATCCCACCCACAGCCAGGCAGCAAGCAGTTGCTTCTCTCATCACTTCCTTCCATTACCACATCATCTCACTGTCTGCCTGCATGGTATTGTCTTGGTCAACAGGATTTATTTAGCGCTTCTTATGAGTCGGAATTGATTCACTGGCAGCAGGTTTGGATTTCTGGATGTATACTCTCAAGAAGCCCTGGTGACTATGTGCTAACAGAACGGTTGGTGGTTCAAACCCACCAGCTGCTCCACAGAAGAAAGATGAGGCTGACTGCTCCCAGAAAGGTTCAGTCTCAGAAACCCCAGGGAGCAGCTCTACTCTGTTCTATGGGGTCCCTCAGAGTCAGAGTTTGATGCAAAGGCAGCGGGCCATGTACAGAGTGTGCTGTCCATGCTGTGGTGGGAAGAGGTGAGCTCTGAGTCCCTTAAACCTGGACGGAGCTCTCCACTTCCTCTCTGAGCAGACTTAGATAGACTACCTCACCCTTGGGTGCTTTGGTATGCTCACCGGTAACTAGGGACAGTGACAAATGTTATGATGCTCACGAAGGCTTGTGAGGAGTGGTGCAAATGAAGCTTGTGGTTGACACACAATGGGTGGTGGCGACTTATTTTATGGGAAATATATCTTTATCTCCCCCTTTTAGATGGCCAATTTCTAAATTGCTCATTCCTGTCAGAGCAGTACTCTGAGGAGACAAGCCTTTGCCTTGATCTGAAGACTCTTCTGTTTGGGGGTGGAACTTTGAGCATCTGCATCCATAAGCAAAGTCCAGTTGCGAGCAACCTACCAAATTGCAACAATCTACAGCAGCTCATGGTGTCAAACTTTTTTCTCCTCTTTCAGTTGAGTTCTAGTCAGCTCATTCCTAGCCCCTGTGGACTAAGCAGTGGTACTATCCATAGGGTTAGGAGTCTACACACCTCTTTGCACTTCGAACAGCCACCCTTCTCTCTCATCCCTAGCTTCCATGGGCTAGGTCAGTGCATGCCAATGAGAACATGTTCAAACTCAGCCCTTCATTACTGCCCCTTCCCTACTTATCATCATGGAGAATACTCGGGTGCCACCACACACATCACTTTCTGAGCCCTTTGAACTTCCAGTCCTGGGAGTTCTTCTGGTGAACACTGACTTTTCTTTCTTCAGTGCACCCAAAGACAAACCACTTGCTTAAAATTTTAAAACAAAGCAATCATTTTAGTATTTTCCTGCAGTTACTAACTGCAAATGCAAATCTTCTGTTCTGTGGGTAGGAGATGGGGGAGGAGGGGAATGTTCTGCATGTCTTTTCAACTCAGATTTCCCAGTTGGAAAGATTCTGGGTGGAGCTCAGGGCTTCCACCCAGGCCCCCGATACTCCCAATGCAGGGATATTGCATTCAAACCAATAGCCTGTTGTTCTTTGGGGGCAAATCCTATTTCTCCTCTTAGCATGCCCAGTCAAGTATTAGCTGACGGCAGAGTTACATGGTCTCTGTACTCTCTAACACCCAATATTCATTTCCATCATACATGTAGGTCCATTTTACAACCACACCATCTTGCACTGGGCTGCAGAGCCTGCTGCTGTTCCTCAGCTGCAGCTTCTCACCGTTACTTACTGCCGCAGGTGTCACAGCTCTCTGCCTCCAGGATCTAGGAGGGTCTTAGCAAAGGGACCCCAATCCAAAGGACAGACTCTCTTCTGGGTGGTAGTGGTCCCCCTTTCTGTGATGACTCATTTTAAGTCCAGCAGGATGGCAGCACTGATCAATCCCCTCATACACCTTATTTGCATCCCTCCATTTTTATGAGGGTCTTGTGCCCCTTATTTACATTATGACCAAGCTATCCAATCCCCTTGGTGAGCCACTTACACCTCATTCACCATTATTTCGCTAATGTTACAAGACCATACCTAGAAAGACCATATGAAAGTGGTCCCTCCCACGGTCAGTACGTTGATAAGATGGGTAATAATATGGCCACTGGGAGCAGATATATGTGGGCTGTCTGCCTGCGATAGAGTAAAGGCTCAGGCCTAGCACAGACGCTCGGGGCCACTAGGAATCGAGACCATTGGGTTCAATGGTTCTCCAGCCAGCCTCTTAAAAGAAAGAACAGACTACCGTGCCCTGCTGAGGTTTTTGCCTTCCCCAGAGGTGAAGAAGTATGTCAGGCCAGCCATACATGGAAACAAACTAGGAACTGACACGCAAAGAGGTGAAGGCTGCTCTGCTGGTCACAGCAGAGGAGAGTCCAGGGTGAGCACTGGCTGCTGGGCCCGGAGCTCCAACTGAGCCACCCAATCCGCCAGGCCTCCCTGTACCAGTCCCCAGAGCCAGGTGTGGCAACAGAGCCTTCGCTGGGTCCGAGGCTCTGAACACCAGTTGCCTCTGCACCAGACTCTCCCACTGGCTGGAGCAGCATTGGAGCGTGGTTTGAGGGACCTGGGGCTTGCTGAGGGGACAGTGAGGAGGGCCTCAGGTGAGTCAGGTTCCCAGGCCAGTTGCCGGAATGAAGAGACCTAGCCTCAGGGGAGGTTGGGTAGATCCGAGGCTTGGAGTTGAACCTCTGAGCTGCAGCATCTGTGAGCCAGCCCAAAGGGGGAGAAACTGCCTGCACCTTAAAAGCAGCCAGGCTGGAAAGGTGGGCCAGGTGCCCCAGATGGGG